AAATTGTCGATCTACTTTGCAGCAGACGGGCTCCCAACACGTTGGAGAATGTGATATTTAAAACTAATGATATTTTGAATTCTGTACAGTTTGTATTGCAAGATAATAGAAGTGATTTTACATTTACCGAATTCTCAAGCTACGCATTTCAGGTAAACTTTCGGGTATTCATATAGGTGTACATAAATATGTATGAGCAAAACTCACGAGTGGTTTTTGTTAGTGTCACTCCCTTCTCTCGCCAGATAAAAACGCTAAAGCATTCTTGCATTTATTTATTTCATCACTGCTTGCAGCTATTTTGTAATTTTTGAAATTGAACGAATTTTATTTTTTTATTTTAAAAGTTTAAGATACTTTATAAAATGAACATTAAATGATGAAAATGTTCTAACCTAAACGAACCAATCTAGAGTAATAAAACTAGTGTGCCGCCAAAAGGAAAAAAATTACGTTGATTACACTGGTCTACAAGGGTTTTGCGAATAAGACGGGACCTGGTGTTTCCGAACGGATTTTTCGTGCTGAACACGAATCTGGGGTCCAAAACTTCCCATCACGTCACGTTTTCGAGAAAAAAGGGGTTGAAACCCCTAAAAACAGCGTTTTTGGCCATTTTTGAAAAATTGTAGAGCTGAACCCTGACGTGCTACAAACTTTGTATATGTCAGAAATTAAAGGCTAAACACAAATACACCCCCTGCTTTAAGGGTGCACGCGATCAATTCGGCATAGGGCTCATTCGAAAGGGCACGGTTTAGCCTTTAATTTCTGATATATGCAAAATTTGTACCACGTCAGGGTTCAGCTCTATAATTTTTCGAAAATGGCCAAAAACGCTGTTTTTAGGGGTTTCAACCCCTTTTTTCTCGAAAACGTGACGTGATGGGACATTTTTGACCCCGGATTCGTGTTCAGCACGAAAAATCCGTTCAGAAACACCAGGTCCCGTCTTATTCGCAGAAAAAAAGTTGAAATTTGTAGACCAGTGTTATAAGATCACGATGATTTGCAAAACCGAAATTCCAATTTTCCAATTTTTATTAGCGCACTTGAAATTTCAATTTTTATATTGGCACACTCGAAATTGATTCTAAGATTTTTATATACATACATGAAGAAATTATACATATATTTATATAGTATATTCTTGAAGAATACTGTAGAAAAATATTCCACGCCAATATTTAATCACATTTAAATAATATAACTTTTAAGTTATAGCATGCGTGTAAACGTGTACGCATACGCCCCACCTTACATACACAACTACGAGTACATAAGCACGAGTTATCATTTTGACTTTTTTTTAGTATACATATATTTTTTAAGTTTTCATGTAAATACAATTTCGTGATGGAATCTTGTATTTTATGCGAAACTCAAGATAATGCACTAGTCGAAAAATCTAACTTCTCGTGTGGTTTGCTCATATAGACAAGTTGTTTCTTATACTACGTACTAATCTGGGTCTAACCCCTGCTTTTTCTGCTAAGCTTTATTTGTTTCCACAGGACGATTATCCCAAAGTAATGACGAACTCAATGGGAGACATTTTGGTGAATCACAGACAATTAATGCATATTCCAGTACAGCCCACCTTCTACGATAGCAACAATCACATACGCAGCTTTCGACCGAGTGTTAGGAAGTGTTATTTTAAAGACGAAGGACGACGTATGCTGAACAGGTTAGTTGTGAAACGTATTTATAGAGTTGATGAGTTCATAAATGATTCATAAATTATTTTTAGTCTGAAAGTGCATAGATAAACTGAAATCACTTTAAAGATAATAAAAACTGGTTTGTTTTGTGATTATAGTTCAGAAAACAAGGGGACAAATGCTGCCATAGGTAATCCGCGTATAAACTTGCTCGGACGTCACATAAGAAAGCATTGGAAAAAGTTGTGAAGAACCAAAATAACTAGCTGGTGGGATCACTGTAGAAAAACACTAATACGCCTCCAAAAAACTTCCACTAGGGATGCCATCTCGACTCTAACGAGCCTAGATACTTGTAACACTCGAAACCCGAGTGGGACATGCACTTTTTTACTAGATGCTAACTCTTCGGGCTGCTTACCCATCCTTTGAACGAATAAAAACTTTACAACTATGCTTAATAAATACTACGCTTACTCGTAGTGATATTTAGTCGCAGAACAAGCACCATTTCCTTATTTAGTTCGGAGTGACCAGATGGCTTATTTTCCAACAAAAAGACAAATGCTTATATCCAGTCCTTTCTAGACTTTCGAGAGCTTTACACCTTCTTGGTCGCATTGCGAACGAATAGCAGAAGTTGTAGTATTAGCCTCCATTACTTACTCTTAAAATATATGTATATAAAAAAAAGTCGTCCTAAAAAATAGGCTTATAGCAAAAACTAATTTGCTGACCAAGCGGACAAATTTGTGACTTTGATTCATAACCTCATTTATTTTACACCTAATTGCCGTTTTCACTGTAGGGGGTTAACTCTAATTCGACAGTTAACTTTCAGTTTTTGTACCAAAAACCTGTAGTGAAAATGTGCGTCCAACAATGCTCAAAAACTGCACAGCAGTCGGCCAACATATTCCCCACTTGACTCTTCGACCTGCTCTCCCCGACATTTGCGAAGAGTCGAACCACATTTCTCGCCCCCTTTGAATGGTAACAGCACTGAAAATAGTAGATAATATGAATTCGAACCACCAATCGATGACGGCGCCACCGCCTGAAGCTAATGGTCTGCCAGCTGAGCTTTTTGATAAGGGGCATGCATCAACTCTTACATACGTAGAATATGGTCTGATGAACGCATGCTCGATGACTGGAATTTAAGTGAGCTCTGCCCAATCTAGAAAAAAAGTGACCCCGCCATAGTAGGCGCTAACTACCGCGGGATCTGCCTTGTAACGATGTATGACTTCGGATATAAGGTCTGGTCGAGCGTATTAAATATGTGAAAGACTGAATCCCACCTTAAAAAAAACTGATTAGGCCTTATCCGTTTGACTCTCGATCTGTAAAATATACAATAGACCAGGTACTCACCATGCGCAAGTGTTGGCAAAAACCCGCGAGAATAAAATCGTCACAGACCATCTATTTGTTAATTTCAAAGCCAAGTTCGAGACCACGAAAAAGTATTGCCTTTATGCCGCGATATCAGCCAACCAACCCAGCGGAGAATTTGCCTTGCCAACAAATGCTCTTTGGATTGAGTAAGCAATTGAGAAGTAAAGTCCTCTCTCGTCGTACAGAAATCTGGTGCTGGTGTATGGCGCAAAAGCATTTACAATAGCAGCATTTCATGAGGGGTGGGCCTTAGAGAAATCGAGTGAAGATTATACGGAAGATGTGTACGATGTAACATATTACGGCAGATTTAAATACAGCGGCTCTGGATCCCGATTCTGGTAGCAGAAGATGAGAAAAGCCTCCTCAGCTAATGAAAACCAGGAGCGAGATACTGTAACCAGTTAGAGACAATTTTCGGATCGCTATCGCACTTTTTGACGCATGATATAAATGTTTTTGCATCAAAAAGTGCGATAGCGATTCGAAAATTGTCGCTAATTGGTTACAGAATCTCCCCCCAGGTCGAGAAGAACTTTACTCCACTTGGCATTTTGCAATTAGCATCAGTTGGCTTAAAAGAGAAATAACTATCGTACTTTATTGGACTCGTCCAAAATGTCTTCGGCGGCTACAGCGCCAATCAAGAAGAAGAAAAGAATTGTCTAAGTACAGCCACCAAACTGTGGCTCCAGTATACCAACCTCGATTTAAGCTCAGATTTTCTTCAGAATTTCGCTGTCAAAAATGATATCTGTTTTCTAGACAAGATGTCACCCTATAGCAGCCTTAGCAGTATTGTTGTTCATTCCGGTGCGTCCAGAGCTCTAGAGTGTTTATTCCCGACAGTTGGGGCCAGTTCAACCGGGCAGGCTATGTCTTGATTATCTGTGCCTTGTAAGCGTAGTAATGGCATATTAATTGAAGCATTCCATAATAGTGGAAAGAGAACCCTGTACCTGGAGTATGCTTTTGTTATTTGCATATTTTGTGGCTAACATTTGCTTAATATATTTCTTGAACGCCAAGAACTTCTACTTTACATACATGTGTACTGAAAGGCTTATTCATAGCAGAGATACAACGGTATTGAAGAAATCTCCTAGGGATATTTCTTGTTTAGGATAGGTTAGGCTAAGCTGGCTAGCCGCTTCTGCAAGGACCGTTAACTACGACCACATTTATCAGCCAATCACTGAGTACTAGAAGTAATGTAGAAGAAAATCGCAGTCCTCCTGGGAAACTGGAACACTTTATTGTTTCCTGTTTTTTGCGGCGGCTTCCATATAAGGAAAAAAGTCTGCTCCTAAGAGACCAATCCGCGGTCTGCTAAGGGCAGCACACTCACAGAGGATATGTTCCACTGCCTCTTCTGTCGTTCCGCATCTCCAACAGATCTTATCATTGGTCAGAGCCAGTTTAAAGGCATGCGATACCAACAGAGATGGTTGCGTTAGGACAATTACTAGTAGCCTAGCTAGCGTCCTCCCTCTTAAGGAATAGCAGTACGTTCGTGAGTTTGCCATCATATGATCTGCACTAATCTTAGACACTTTGCAACTCTGTGTTTTGACCAACACCTTGTGCCCCTTTCGAATCATAGATAGGTCGAGCTTTCGTTTAATTGCTTAGATGGAAATAGGCACTTCCATAATCAGCGTAGTTTCCAATCCTGTCGGCCTCCTCATTGCCCGTGACGGCGGCGACTGCCCCAGAACCCAGTACGAATCTACATACATATGTACCAGGATGTAGCATATGTATCTCAACCTGCCCCGCACGCAGCCACACTTCTTGAGGAAGTGCTGTACAATAGTAGCGCCTTTATGGCAGCCTGTGTGTCCATATAGAAATTCACCAGCCGACTGCCAAATATGTTTGCCTGGAAAATGCTTCAATGGTACGGCAGCTTGTGAGATTTATTACGCCCTTGTCTATCATATTCCACCCATCTATATTAACATTCATCGAGTTAGCACTCCTCATGCAATCACGCTTGCCTTCGACCTCCATAGCGTCTCCGAAATTCATCTCAAAGTGCAGATCCGGGATTATGTAGTCAATCCGTCCGGGCAGACTGTGACCTAGCGGCAGTTGTTGACGCTATATTATTGGCCGACAAGTCCGACGACAATCGATGCAATTAGGCTGGTACTTGAAGACTGAAACTTTTTCATTAACAGTGACGTTTTGTTTAAGTGTTTTGTTGAGTCTTTAGAGTAGGTGTGTTGGTAGGTCGATAGATTTCTAGGGTCCACCTCGTTTTGGATGTACTTACTTATCATATGTGTAATAAGAATTATGGAAAAAGAAAGCTGTAGAAAAATCTAAATTTGGAATTTACCTCACAATGTGAAAATGTGCCTTAGTGCGAAAGTTGTTGCGAAAGTCACATGAGAGAACCGTTCTACTTTCCCTCCTTTATTAATCAAATACCTATACCTAGCAGCTGGATGAATATACTAGCATCGCCGTTATCGTTCCCTTGCATATCTAGTCTTTGATACCCGCAACGACTCAACGACTCAGTTTTGTTTCCAACAAAGGACTGCCACTTCAGCAGTACTCAACAAAAGCTGTGTGTAGAATATTTATTTATATGATACCCCCATAAATAGTACATCATCAATGTGTACAAATTGGGCATTAACAAAGCAGTCTAACATAAAATGGACTTTATTCCAGTACTAGTATTTATGCAAATGTTTGATCGTTCTTTTGCCATTTCAGAACCTACTACTCAGTTGATGAATGTCTACACATTTGTCGCATGCAAAGTATGCAACAATATTGTGGGTGCGTCAGTCCATTTCTCGAGCCAGCCCTCATAAACGCAACTGCCTGTAGTTTATTGCAACTACCTTGTCTCACAAATTGGATACGCGAATTCTATCGATGGTCATACTTCGACTATGTCCTGCTGTCAGCTGGATTTGGCAAATGCCTCTTTTGTTTGCCAACATGCAATGGTGTTTTCTATACAATTTACCCTAATCCATCAACGTTGCGTGAAGCAACTGCCACGACGACCTACACCCACGGCTTGCTGTGAGTAGCATAATTTATGGATATTATGGATAAGTTTTTGCACTTTTTCTTTTGTTCAATTATTTGCAGAGAAGGTCTCAATAGCAATAGACCATTGGCGCTGATTAAATTATACTTTAAAAATCGGTATGCGCAATCGACACAAAAAGATTTGATAAGCGACTGGGTTGTAATGTTGAGTAAGTTTTTTTTTTTTTTTTTTAAATATTGACACAAGTATGTATGTATAAATAATTTCATTGTTGTTCTTTTACTATAGATCGCTTTGGTGGCATTTTATCGCTATTTTACGGCTTTAGTATAATAAGTTATATAGAAGTTTTATACTACTTGAGCGGTAAATGGTTTGTACTTATAATCAAGACTTGGCAATCGGTGAGAAATGGCAAAGCACAGGGAAGTGCATGTGAACTGGAGAGGAATGTTGTGGCACAGAAGCCGATATATGCATTGTATTGGAATGAGCTACTCCCCATGTCTGTTAGGCAGCAAAAATACCCTAGGAATATAACTGCAGCTAAAATCAAAATAAATAAAAAATAATAGATAGTGATGGAATTCAGTGACTACTACGTGGGGTGGTTCAATAGCTCCCGGGGTGGAAAGAATGAGAGAATGAGTGAAGAGATTTATTTCTTCCTCTACAGTAGATACATATGTACATAATATATTTATTGATATCTTTTCCTTGGAAATCAAAAATTTATGGGTAAGTGGCATTGACCTTTCAAATGAAGCAGAGAGTCAACAGAAGGAAATCAACGCTAGAGCTGCAAATGTATCGATGCCCCAGTATCGATATATCGAGTATTTGTTTTCTTTTTTTCCGATATCGCGTATAGTGTATCCATTTTCTCTTTGCTTATTTTAACGGAAAACACTATAAGCGACTAAAATTTTGGTAAGCCGAATTGTAGCCAAGTTCGAAATCTATAAAAAAAATTCCGTTCTACACCATTATATTAATACCACGATTTTGTCTAGAAATTTTAATTAAAAAGTTTGCCATTTACTTTTATAAAGAAGTAATGAAAAAAATGTCTGGATGAGAAAATGTGAGTACTTTGTTTTTTTTTGTTATTTTTTGGCCTTTTAACAATTATATTCAACAATTTTATAATGAGCTCGAGGCCATGATGAGGAAATGTGGTGATTTCCGAAATAGCTATCACTTCTACCATTTTTTCAAAATTATTGTTGCTTTTCCACAATAAATTTTCATTTAAAAAAATGGGCTCGAGCTCATTATAAAATTGTTGAATATAAATGTGAGTACTGTAATAATATCACTGTGTGATTTTGAGTATGGGTCACAGCGCATGCATATGTACATATGTATGTACATACATACCTCATATATGGTTCTATGCATTTGTTGAATGAGTTGATGTTTTTTTTCAGTGCTTCATTTAAAATTAAAAAATTTAACGATATATATCGATGTATCGAGTTTTTTTCTCTTAAATATTGAAAGTATCGAGTACGGTGAATATCGATATTTGTGCTGCTCTAATCACGCAGCTCGCGACGGCCGATTAAGACGACGCGCAGTGATTCAGAAACGGGGTCAAAAATCGAGATTTGCGTTGAAATTTTATACTCAGGGGTTTTTTGGGTCTCTGATTTCGAATCTGTTATCGGTAAAACAAAAAAAAAAATGACGAATGGTTTTTTTCCAATTGCTTCTTAACAATATTTATCCCTTCATAGGGCTTTTGGAGTCACTGATTTCGATTCTGATATCGGTTTTGGGAAAAAAGAAATGGCCGTTTCAAAACGGACGAAAAAAATTCCAATTTGGCAGGACACTTTCAACAGACATTCTTGAGTAATAGTATTTAGGCCTGTGGCCGATTGGCTGACTTCACTGAGAGACGTTGTCAATAGAAAAAGTTTACAGAATTAATGAAGTGAATTTTGTATTCGTGTCAATACAATTGCCAGAGTCGCCTTGTTATAAAGAAAAACATATATCTTTATTTCATTTAATTTTTAGGATCTTATTTATTATTATTTTTTGGATTGTATATTATTTTAATACTAAGATTTTGCTTAAAAAATAAATAAAAAAATAATTGTTTTAGTTTTTTTTTTTAATTCTTAAATGCTTCTTTCTACTTTTTTGATTTAATTTTTTCTTTTTCTAGTTAAATTTTAGATTTTATTGTTTTAAAAATACATGTAAATTTTTTTAAATTTAATTTAATTTGTAAAAGATAGTGGGCCGTATGAATAAAAATAAGTAATTGCTTTTTCTTCAAATTTCAGACCTTTTACTCAATTTATTCAAATAAAATTGAAGTAAAAGGTATGAAATTTCAAGCAAATGCAATTTCTTAGCTTTTATTCATACGGCCCATTGTCAAATGTTCTTTCTCGCTCTTATTACTACACCGGGTATAATTGCACCATGGTAAATTGCTTCCAAGATAGGTACCAGAACTGACAATTGTCTTACGAAAGGCTTTTGTCTATCGAAAGACTGTGGTGAGTTGAAAGACAGTTGCCAGAATTAAAACCACGACACTGTGAATACCCTAAATAAGAACATGTATTCGCAGCCTGTCTGGCAGCGCAAACTGGTGTACACATATGAATCACCGTTATTTTTTAAATTTACTTGTGCAGTGAAGCAGCGTTAAGAATTCGCTCATTTGAAATTCCAGTTTAATACAAATAATCAAATTTCCTTCTTATTCTTTGTGAAATTTTAAATTAATAAGTGTTGTGATTTTAATTAAAATAAAAACAAACGCAAAGTGAAAATGAATTCGTTAATATTAATGAACTATTTTGAAAAACAAGCAAAGAGCAGCCCCAAATTGCAAGAGCTAATGGCGCAAGCAGCGCATTGCTTATTGGTGAAGGAAGAGCTGCGCAGCTTAGAAAATGGTAAGCAGACTTGGTTAATATCTATGTACATATATGTATGTAAATACACTACAATAAAAATTAGCTAATGAAGTTATTTAATATTTTTTCAACGTTTTTTATCATTCAACCAACAACAACAACAACACACACACACACAGAGCTCTCGGAGGAAACGCTAACCCTCACAATGGATAACTATCAGCTGGAGTGTGTTGCAGAACAATTAAAATCACAATACCAACAACATCGCGAAGAACAAGAATGTATGCGCCTAGTTAACAAGCATTCCGTAGAATTTTTTGTTGTAGTACGAAATTTCGATTGGGAGGAGTACATACGTTGTAAGCTGGAATTATTACAAGTGCGATGTCAAAAGGAAATGCTCGAAATGAACGAGGAGTATGAGGCCGAACAACGGCGTAGAAACCAACTGGAGCAGCGAAAAAGCGGTGAGAATGGTTGATTGGGGAACATTAGTGGGGGGAAAAATATCTATTTTTTGTTGTTGTTGTTGTTTTTTTTTTGTTTTGCTTCCAGTTCAATTGGCGCGTGCGGCTCAAAGAGAATTGGCAAATATGCAGGCGAAAAAAGATTATGCTAAAAAAGGCGCGGCTGAAAGCGAAGCGACTTTATTAAAAGAGCTAAAAGAGTTGCGTCAGAAACGTAATGATTTGATAGTTGCCTTAGTGACGAGAAGCAAGCAAATAGCTGATCGTAAAAAAGAGGTAATTAATACTTAAATGTATATTCTTTGTAATTTTTTAAAATATTTAGTAGGCATACACCTCTGAGTCTCCAGTATTTTTGCAAGGCAATGTCGAAATTTTATTTAATTTTTTTTTTCTTTTGCCGCCTTTTTACAAGTATGGTATACCAATGTTCTTGCCTCGAGGAGACAATTTGTTTCTGTTCCAAAGTTCATTGACCTCAATTACCCCGTTACTCACCAGATCTCAGTTTGTATCACCCTAATGCCACCTTAAGTGAACTGTCAAAATTTTGCCGACATATTTTTCGACCAGAGGCTGTAAGAAAAAGTTATTATCGGATTTTTAAATAGGAAAAAAAGTGAGACCATTTTTGCCCGAGTACTTACAAATCCACTTTCATTGTACTATGTAATTTTCTCATGAGCTTAGAAAACAATTTTTTTTATTTGAGTTTATAGGCTTTGATAATAAAATGACGTACATCGTTAGTTTTCAGCATTCTTCGAGACTTTTCTAAATTTTCTTGGGAATTTTTCATGGTGGTCCAGAATTTTTTCGGGATTCTTCGTAGATATGTTTGATTTTTGGAAACTTTTAAGATTTTTCTCGAGACCTCTCTGGATTTATTTGGGACTTTTAAGATTCTTCGTATTTTACTTTTTGAGATTTTTCGAGAACTTTTGGAATTTTTGGGACTTTATTATTGGGGTTCTTCCAAGACTCTTTCAGAATATTTTAGGAACTTTTCGATACTTTTTACTGGACCTTTAGAGATCTTTTCGAGCTTAGTGCTTAGAGCATGATTTTTTTATTCACTTTTTTTTTGCAGGCTCTGATAATAAAATGAGATAATTCTTAAACCTAAAAGATCTTATTGAGACTTTCACAATTTTCTCGGAAATTCTTCGGCATGGTGGAAGATTTCTTAGGGATTCTTCATGATTTTACTTTTGTGGAAATTGTTGAGGATTTTTGAGACTTTTCTGGATTTATGCATTTGTGACTTTTAGAATCTTCGTATTTTACTTTTCAACATTTACAAGAACTTTTAGAATTTTTCGCTACTTTTCTAGTTTTTTCGTGACATTTTTTATTGCTAGTATTTTATTTCTGGTGATCTTTCGGAAGTTAGTGCTCGGAGCATGAATCGTAACTGGGTCCTATCGTGTGGTTGCACACACCTCTAGACACTCGGCCACGTTGACTTAAGGGTAATTCCCTAAAGGTAGCTCTCAAGAAGAGCAAAAACTCGATATAAAATGACGTACAAGAAATGGCTAAGAAATTTTTTTGAGTCAAATTTCCTTAAGACTACGCAGTTCTTAAGGAATTTGCTAAGCTTTCTACTACGGTTTTCTAAAGTTTTTTGTGAAAGAAAGAGCACGGAGCAACCCATGTTTGCAACAGAAATATATGCCCGTTCCATTATTTCTCAAGGAAAGCGTGAGGCAACGGGCTGTGAAGTATCAAAAATGTCAAAATTCCTTGGACACACACTCACGAAATAATGGCAATTTTTTTCTTGACCGTTTTCTTGAGAGCTGCGTACTGGCCTTAACAGAGAATAATATGACTTTTAAATAAATAAATATAAAATCATTTCTCATAGGAAAGTATTTTTGTTTTAATCCCACAATTTCATATTATTCAATCGAAAAACTTCATAATTTTATCACGAGATTTTTTTTTAATTTCCCCAAAACAAAATCTTGAAAATCTTGAAGTAGTCGGAAAACCTGGAATAGTCCCAATAATCCCGAAGTAGTCTCTATATCGTCCCGAGAATCCCGAAAATACGGGAAATCAATATATATCGAATTAGTCTCGAAAATACCGAAATAGTCTCGAAAACTCCGAAAAAGCCGAAAATACAGAAAGTCTTCAAAATCCCAAGTTGTCCCGAAAATCCAGAAATAGTCCCTATAACCCTAAAAATCCTGAATATGACGAAGTAGTCTCGAACATCCTAAAGTTTTTTTATTTTTATACTGAGTGCCTGGTATTTAATGAGGTAATATGTAAGTACTGATCCAGTATTTTGTGAAGCCAAAGTCTCAAAATACCCTTTTAAGCGGTGTTTATGTATAAATATATATTATTGTATATTTACTAATACTAGGGGTCTTCATCAACAATGATAAACTGCGCATAAACTTGGTAAAAGGGTAAATTTATAATTTTGATAAATGAACTGTCAAACTTTGTATGGAAATCTATTTAACCAAAGTTTATTACTTTATCAAACGATGTTGGTGGATATATGCATAAATTTCATCAAAATTCCACCTTGACAGTTTGCCATAAAAAGCAAATGAACACAATAGACGAGGTACGAATGAAACGTAACTAGCCATATA